TCATCCAAACTGTACAATTTTGTGATTCTGTGAAGATAAGCCATCTTAAATGTTTTTACTTTCAGCAGTCTAATATATGATATTCAAAAAGTGGTGGTAGGTTTCTGGGTATTTTTGAAGAACTATATTTTCTACTCCCTTAAAAGATGCAAGTAAAAATAATGGCTGTTTTACAATCCTGATAATGTGGTCCTTTATGCTGCATTATTTTGTGTGGGTAACACTGAAGGCATTTATGAATACCAGACTGAACAGAACTAAATGTTCTGTGACTCAAAGCTAGTTGGAACCACTGTTCATGTTGGTTCTTAGAGGAAAAGTATAAGAGTTGGGTGAAAAAGAAAGGTAGGGAAGTTTGGCCATTGCCTGAATGATACAGTGCTTAAGAAAATAAGAAAAGAGGGTTTTTTAATCTCTTTTGGATTCACTGTAAATAAAAAATGAATAGCAGTCACACACATACACAAAAAGAAAAAAGAAAAAAAAAAAAGAAAAAAAAAAAAGAAACTAAAGTTGTGATCTTTAAACTGGATTAGGAAAAATGGAGGGGTCAGGGAGCTGTGTCTGAAGTCACCACTGAAATCCTGATGCTACTGGAGCTTGTGGAAGATTCAGCATTTATTTCAGTGGTCACTGTTTAGTGCCATTCCTTACCGTTATTCTTATTTGTGGTTATATGATTTCCACCCCTTCCAGCAAGTGAAAAAAATGCTTTAGAACCTCCTTGTAAATAGACCAATTATAGGATATTCTTGCTTTCTGTTCTTTCATAATTAATGTATACATTTAATATACACTTATTATAACTTTGTGCTCTAAATTACTGCACTGTGTGGTGTTTTTTTTGTGAATGAATAAGCCTTTGTTTTTTTCTGCTGGATAGTAGCACACTTGGAAGGCAAATTAACTGTACAGAACACGTATTTCTTTTTTTTTTTTTTTAAAAAAAAAAAAAAGCTCATCACATATCTTGTGTTTACTGAATGATTTTAAGAAAAAATGTTAAAATTATTGGATGCCAAACTCTGAAGAGAGTTGATATACAGACAAGAAAACTAATCTTACTACGAAGAGCACAGTGAATGTCCATAATTACTATCTACAAGGCACACTAGCTAATATAACACAGCTGGAAGTGATACTTAGTTTAACAGTAAACTGAACTTTCTGACGTCAGAGCAGTTGACTTATCACCAGCTGTCTCTAATTTACATGTATTTTATTTTCCCTTTTTTGTCTAGCCAGAGGTGGCTTAGTTTGCTTAATCTAATGGTTGGAGATGAGAAACAATACATTCATAAGCATGCATGTATTTTTAAGACCGAAGATACACATACAATGCAATAATATGTTACAGAAATATAAACAGAAAATTGATGAAAGAACTGTGAGAGGTGGATTTTTAAGGTAACATTTTCACAGATCGTGCTACAAAGGGCCTGGATCCTTCACTTTCTGGTGCAGTGCCTCTTTTAATGTGAATACATCAGAGCCAATGATCCGAGATCTCTTCTTCTTCCAGAAAATCAGGTTTTCTTTTCGTTACACAGAGAGGTTTGGAAGTCAGTTATCAAAGTTTACTATCTTAGAAGGATAGTTGGAGACAATGGAACGAAGCAGGTCCAGTTTTTTACTTTTTTTTTTGACTGATTGGTTGCATCAGTTCTTCAGTATCAAATTAAACAGGAGTTGAAGTCCTTTTGTATTAAAAGATATTTTTTTTTACAGCAAGAGGTAAGTAATTCTTAAATTGCCAGCAAAATAATTGATATGGTAAGGCTATCTCAACCATGTGCTTTGTGTAGCAAGTCTATTTGTCAAACTTCTTAACACTTAAAGTTGGCTTTTACTATAGTTATTGTACTCAAGATAATATATCATTTCAAATACTGAAGACTGTGGTATTTACAGTGTGTTTATTTGTAGCTACAGCTCTGTTCAGCTTAAAGATTCCCAATATAATACTTTATAAAAAAAACAGTATCTGGAATCACCTGAAGAATGAATTTCTCTGTAGACTAAGCTGTGGATTTTCTCCTTTTCTTAGGGAGATACACATCAGAGAGCGATGTATGGAGCTTTGGAATCCTTCTGTGGGAGACATTCAGTTTAGGAGTATGCCCGTATCCTGGAATGACCAACCAGCAAGCACGAGAACAAGTTGAGAAAGGTAGGGAATGAAAGAAATGCTATATACATCCCTGAGGATGTAGTAGAAAAGAAAGATAGCAAGTAAATAATATCTGGAATTATTTATCTGGAATTAGCTATCTGGAAATGTTAGCAAAATATTGTGAAATGATTTATTTGATAATTCTAACAAACATAGATGTGTATTAAAAATGAAAAGGAATACATTGATGTAAAGGAGGAAGAACTTCTAGTGTATTATATGTATGCATAATATATAAAACATACATGTGTGTTACTAAAAGGTAAGATGAAGAGAGGGTGAATTTACTGCTATGCAAAGCAGAGGCTTGAGCAGAATGAATTATTTAAGATTATGCTAATGCACCTATAAATATTCTAAACTACTAGAAGAAAAAAATCTCTATCTTTCCATCTTCTATATTAAAGTATTTCAGACAAAGTTTTATCAGTTACAGAGGAAAATGGTAAGCTGCTTGAGCCATGAAAGCTGCATTGCTCCCCTACAAAATAATCAAAAGACTTTTATTAAAGTAGCAAATAACCATGAGCAGGATTTCAGGACTTTGATGTATTTTCATCATATTTAGTGACATTTCAGAACTCTATGTAGTACTACTAAGTAAAACAGATTCTAAATTAGTAAAACTGGTAATTGATTTTTAAAAAGCGTAGTTTGGTGGTGGCGTGGTCACTGTTGTTGATTATTATCACTGTAGATGACCACCAGAGCTTATCCTTAAAAGGCTAAAACAAAAATTCAATCTTTGTCAAAGCAGAGACATGTATGTAAAAATAAGTTTTACTACCTAATTACTGTTTGAATCCACTGCAAAGAAATTGGTCCAGATGAAAAATTAAGAAGTATTTTTTTGCCTTTCTAGTTTTTTTGTACTATGGAAAAACATTCCTGATGGCCCATCAGAAATTCTCTTTCAGTTTTTCTTCTAGAATTATCATTCCTTGTATCACCATGTTTTTCTGGTTTTCACAAAATTACAGTTCATCTGTTAGGATAGTCAGCTAGGATATTCCAGACTTTCTTCCTGATTTATCTGTCTCAATTCCTCAATCAGTATGAGTCATCAGTACATTTAGTTGCTTGAATGCTTACAATTAAATCAGGATAATTTAAATCCCAAATTGAGTATATAGAATCACTTCGCTTTAGAGACAAAAAGTAGTTGCTGCCATCACTGTTTTGAAGAATTAGTTTATAGGGACAACTTCATGAAGGAAAGCATTTTAATGTGGCTTCATATTATCTGTGTGTCTTAGAGCTCATTCGTTCTCCTTTGAAGTTGCACGGATCAGTCTTGCATCTAGAGCAAACACATATCAAAATCAGTTCTTTGATTTACCCGTTGTGTGAGTATAGTGTCATTTATACTCTGCTTTACAAAGAGAGAGATTTCTAAAGTAAGCCTGACGTCACAGAGCTGTGTTAGCTGTAGAACCCTGTGTGCCAGCCCATTGTGCTGTTCTCTGCCTGTAATTAACCCTGAGAGCTGTATTTGGTAAACAGTTCACAGAATGACAGAATATCTGAGGTGGACAGAGACTTCTGGGTCCCGTGTGGTCTCCTGTTCAAGTAGGGTCACTCAGAGCATGGTGCCCAGGACCAGGTGACTTCAGGAGATCTCCAGTAAGGAGACCCCACAACCTCTCTGTACAGCCTGTGCCAGTGCTCCATCACCCACATAGCACAGAAGTGCTAGCTGATTTTCAGAAAGAGTGTCCTGTGTTCCAGCTTGTGCCGATTGCATCTTGGCCTGGCATAGTACAACCCTGAAAAGAACCTGGATCCATCCTCCCTTCAGGTATTTGTACTCAATGGTGAGATATTCCCTGGAGCTCTTTTCTTCACCAGGTTGAATCCAAGCATTTTAAGCCTTGACTTAGAGGAGAGATGCTTCAGTCTCCTCAGTCTTTGTGGCCCTCCTCAGGACTCTTTGCACTCTGTTCATGCTCTCTTGTAGAGGAGGGCTCAAAAATGGACCCTACTCTCCACGTGTGGCCTCATTCACCAGTGTTTAGAAAAGAAGAAGGATTATGTCCCTCCATCTGATGGCAGTGCTTTGCCAAACAAGGCAAAGTATCCCACTAGCTTTCTTTACCACAAAGGTACTTGGCGTACGTACTTCTGTCTGGCTCACATTCAACTTGGTGTCCACCAAGAACCTTGAGGCCTTTTCTACCAAGCTGCTTTCCAGATGGGTGGTCCCAGCATGTCCTGGTACCAGGGGTTGTTACTCCCCAGGTACAGGACTCTGCACATCTCCATGTAGAAATTTATAAGGTACATTTTTCCAGCTTTTTGAGTTTCCTCTGGATGGCAGCATGGCAGTGGTATGACAGCCATTCCTCCCAGTTTTGTGTCACCTGCACACTTGCTGAGGGTACACTCTGCCACAAGATCCAAATCATTAATGAAGATGTTAATCAGGCCCCATTACTGAGCCCTGGTGTATTTCTCTAATTACAGCCCTCCTAGTTGACTGTGTGCCTTCCTCTAGGCCTTACTGTTCAGCAGATTTTCAGTCCACCTGTCTGCACATTCAGACTGTATTTCAAGTGCTTCTCCATTCAGATCTACTGGGATGTATTGTTAATAGCCTCACTGAATGAGCCAGCCGTGTGCAGCCCAGAAGGCCAACTGTGTTCTGGGCTGCATTAAAAAAGGGGTGGCCAGTAGGGAGAGGGAGGTGGTTGTCCCCCTCTACTCAGCTCTTGTGAGGCCCCATCTGCAGCACTGCGTCCAGGCCTGGGGCCCCCAGCACAGGAAGGATGTGGAGCTCTTGGAACAGGTCCAGAGGAGGCCACTAAGATGATCGGAGGGCTGGAGCACCTCTCCTGTGAGGAAAGGCTGAGGGAACTGGGCTTGTTCAGCTTGAAGAAGAGAAGGCCCTGGGGAGACCTCATTGTGGCCTTCCAGTACTTGAAGGGAGCTTATAAACAGGAGGGAGAACAATTGTTTAAATTGGTGGATAGTGACAGGACAAGGGGGAATGGTTTTAAACTGAGACAAGGGGGGGTTTAGCTTATATATTAGGAGGAAGTTTTTCACTCAGAGAGTGGTGATGCACAGGAACAGGTTGCCAAGGAGGCTGTGGATGCCCCATCCCTGGAGGCATTCAAGATCAGGCCAGATGTGGCTCTGGGCAGCCTGGTCTGATGGTTGGCGATCCTGCACATAGCAGGGGGGTTGAAACAAGATGATCATTGTGGTCTTTTTCAACCCAGACCATTCTATGATTCTATGAAATCCCTTGTTCTGTCTCCTACAAATATGATGATTTCATCACAAAGATCTTCAAATTGACTAACTACTCCCACTGACTGTTATCCTTCATGTGCATGGAAATGGTTTCCAGGATTAGCTGCTCTGTGATTCATGTGAAGCTGACATACCTGTAGTCACTGTGTGCTTCCCTCCCTTCCTGAAGATAGGAGTATCATTTGCTTTCCTCCTTGTTCTTGGATGTTTTCTCCAGTCCTCTTGATCAATCAAGTACTATCAAGATTGGCCTCTTGGTGACATCAGCACTTGCAGTTGCTTCTCATCAGGTTCTATGAACCTACATATGTCCAGTGTGCTTAGGTATTCTCTGACCTGATCTTCTTCCACCATCTTGCTTATTTCTTGCTCCAGACTTCTCCTCTTGTCCCTCAGGCCTAAGATTCTTGAAAGCCAGTCTTGCTGGAAAAGACAGAGGAAAAGAAGGGATTCAATTCCTCAGCCTTTGTCCCAACATCCTATGCCTTCTTGAGCAGTGAGCTTACATTTTCCCTAGCCATTGTTTTGCCATTTGTGTACTTATCAAAGCCCTCCTTCTTGCTTTTGACATCCCTGGCAGGATTCCACTCTTGCTGGGGTTTTGTTTTCCTAACCTCAGCCTAGGTGCTTGGCCGTTGTCTTTGTATTCCATCCAACACACTCGTCCTCTTCGTGCTCCCTTTTTTTCGCTTGAGTTTTGCCAGGAGCTTATGGTTTTTGACTGCAGGGCATTCTGGGATTTTTGCTTTACTTCCTGCTCATTAGGAAGTTGCCCTTATTGCTGTGGGTACATCTCTTTAGTCCATTCATCTATGGCTTTTGAATTATCAGCTGCAAATAAGTGGTTATTCATTCTCCTGTTCATCTCTAAGTCATTGACTTCCTTCAGTTTTCAGAGCAGACTGCCTTCTGGAGCAAATCAGAAGAATATTAGTGTTAGGATATGTGGGAAAATACAAAAATAAGTTAAGAAAATGAGGGGGAGGAAAGGGAACTTCTTGAGGATACAAGGAGTGGAAGAGCAATGAAAATAAAGGTCTTTACATTTTGAAAGAGTAAAAGAATCTACTCCAGTCTTGGTTATAATTCCCATTATTAATGATTTTGCAGGTTGTTGCCCTCAGCAATGAGAAACATGTAGACAATCTACCCTACACAACTGAAATGTCACCTGAGCTTGGGTTAGATTAATATTTATCCATTCTTATGGGGTTGTGTACTGAAGAATTTGTTCATATTACAAGATGTAAAACTGACCCTCAATTATTTTTTAATTGTGAGCTTTGCACATTTCTTTTTAAATTTGTCAATATACATTAGTTTTCAGCGCTGAACTTTTTCCCCTTTTCTTGTGTACCAGGTTACCGAATGTCAGCACCACAGAAATGCCCAGAAGAAATATATAAAATAATGCAGAGGTGCTGGGACTACCATCCCGAGAACCGACCAAAATTCAGTGAGATTCAGAAAGAGCTATCTTCAATCAAAAAGAAAGTGACATAGTGATGTGCTAGTGCCAAACTCAATATGCGGGACTTGATTTTCCATTGACGTATTTTTTCCCCTTAAACACTATGCGTTTATACAACATTATTTGCAATATTCATTTAGGATTACTTTAAAATTAACTGGTTTTTATATACATGTGTACCATCTTGAATTATGTCTACACCTGCATTAAAGACATATACTGCCAAATGCTATATATCCAATCACAGTAATATTGTCATTTAGGTTACATGTAAATAGGAAAGCAGATACTGTAGATTTAAGGAACTGTGGCTTTTATGTGTTTTACAGCAAGTAACTGCTAATTTTTCAGAGTTTTTCTACTTAACACAGTCTTCTCACTCTGCTGTCCCTGTCTCAGTTGTCAACACCAGCAGCTCTCTAACATGGTGACTGTGTCATGCATGTTGGCCTTAAGACTGAAGACAGTTTTGACAAGTATTTCAGCTAGAAATTTTTGTATTTTTCAAATTCTATCTGCAACTTATTTTTTTTTTTATGATAGCTTGTTTCAAGGGTAAAGGTCAATTAGATTCTGGATGTAAGTTTGCTTACCAAACAACAAAATCCAGAAATTTATTCTGTAGAAAATTGAGCTACATGTTCATTTCTTACCATGCTATATTAATTTCTTAGGACTTTTGATATTATTTACCTATGCCCTTTAGTCTACCCCTTTTTTTTCCTATGAAGCCATCAGAATTCAGTAATGTGTCTTCTTTAATTACCTATGTTTGTTTAAGAAACAAACAAAATAACAGTCATTGAGCACATTCATTGTTAAGAGATACTGCAAATCATCTGTCTTCCAAAGAATAGGTAAAAACAATAGGCCAACAGAAAGAGGTTTGCTAACGATAGCAGCATTGTAATAGGTGACCAATAGCATTGATCTTAGAGGAGTTAAACAATGTGAATTTCTAGATTTGCTTTTGATCTGAAGTTTTTCCCTTAAATTGGCAATAACCCTCAGTGTGCTGTTGGAGCTTTTAAAAGGTTACACAAAAAAAAGCACATTCCATGCATAGTGTTGAAGGGAAAACACTATGTTTGTATGGCATGAGGAATTATCCAAGAAACCCAAATAAGAACTTATATTTTAAGTCTGTGACAGGTGAAACGAAGCAGAGTAGAAATACTCACCTTCTAAATTTTTAAAATCATTACAATCAGGTTTTAAAAGATGGGGGATAGACAAATTGTAAATGTCACCAAAAATAAAGGAAACTTGTTAAAAAAAAAAAAAAAAAAAAAGGTAACATTCCATAGTATAAGATACAGTAGACAGGGAATAGAGGAAAGGTACAGTGTGTTGCTCTGACTTTGTGTTCTCTTCATAGTGGGGATTATTTTCTTTTGTTTCTACATAGAAACAAAAACAAGTTACAGTACCCTGGTCTGAGCTCCAGAGTTAAGGTGCTTAAGATTTCTTCATGAATCAAATAAAATTTTTCAGATCAAGGAATGTCTGTTGCTGTTAATACAAGTAAACGGAGACAGAAAGTAACACAGCATTATTAGCCCTATGTAGTGAAATCTGTGGCTACACTGCATTTTTATTTCCCTTAAGGCGGCTTTTCTATCATCCACAGAATTTATGCTCTGTTAAAGCATGTTTGTGGTAGTGCAGGGTGGTAATGATTAAGGGCTATGTGTGACAAAAATATGTGTAATCTAAAAGAATTTGTCTGAGGGCTGCTCCGAAAGTAATGCATCCTGTTTTATTACGTTGGTCCATGACATCAGAGGCAGTTGATTGTGGTATGGCAGCAGAGGGGCAGCCTGACAATATGGCATCTGACATGGAAGTGTAGATGAAGCAAATGTGTGTCACTGAATTCCTCCATGTAGAAAAAATGGCACCCACTGGCATTCATTGATGCTTGCTGAGTGTTTGTAGAGCCTGAAGTCAGGTGGTGGGTGGTGCATTTCAGCAGCGGTGCCAGCAGTTTACCTCCACTGGTGCAGGTTTTTATAAGCACAGCATGCAGGCTCTTGCTCTTTGCTGGCAAAGATGCATAGCTCATGGTGGTGCCGGTGTTTGGAATTAATGTATTGTAGTCGAGAATTTGCTCTATCAAATAGTGTTATTGTGCTCTTTGTATCTGTCGTACTTTCCATGGAAGTCAGTGGGAGGCATTACTTCTGGAGCATCCTACGTGCATACCCTTTAAGGTGTAATACTTGGCAAACTTGATGGCCTGAATTGAAACTTCCTTATCAGGAAATTCCTTATACTGGACATATTTTCCTTATAAGGAAACTTCCTTATACTGGACGTATTTTCTTAGTACTGTATTTCCGAGTAGCCCAAAGATATTTTTCAAGAGCAGTGGGAAGCATTCTTGTTCATTTGTGTGCTATTAAGTATTACACACAGTTTGTGCCTTAATTTGCTTGTATGCTAATGCAAATGCAAGTGCACTAAGATTAAGAAATGCACCACAACGATATGGAAAAATCCCTGTCTCAAATCTATTGTTAATCCAACTGCTGGTCATTGGGTATGCACCAAGAAAGTCTGCAAGTAAGGGTAATGGTGTCTTCTCTATCAGCATTCATTGCTTCTCTGGAGAGTTGATCTTCTTCTTCTGTGAAAGAGATGAATTATGTTTCTTTGCTATATGCCCTGGACAGCAAAAAAACAAAAACAAAAACAAAAACAAAAAAAAACAACAAAAAAAAAAAACCTTCTTTTTAACGAAATCCTATTTTATTTGTCCATCTTGATTCTCATATATAGATAAGAAATGCATTCTTATTTATTCTGAAATGATTAACATTTGTAATTCATATCACAGTTCTGTTTAAATGTAGTGTACTTCTTAAAAAATGGGGATAATTCTGCAGCAAGAAGATATATTGTTGCTGCTGAAGTCAGCATAAGTTCAGCTAAAAAATAATCATTCTTCAGGAGAATACCAGCTTGAGTTTAAAATAAAATAAATTATAACACATATAAAAGGTATAAAATAAATTTAAACACATAGTCTCTTCAATTATTTAATGCTTTTTTTTTTCTTTTTTTTTCTTTTTTTTACAATTAATTTTTCAGTGTTTGTGGCAGAATTTGTTCATCTTTTCTCACTTGTAGTTAATGCCATTATACTTTAGGAAGTGCAGTCCCTACCTATGAATACTTAATCTCTAAGTTTCTATGAATTTCTTGCTGGAGGAGAGTTTACAGACAAAACTGCCCTATGGTGAAATGTAAGAGACAGACATAGTATTCAGGAACCAAAGTCACCATATCTGCTTTCTATGAACTTTTGATGACTGAAGTCTTGCATTATGCATAGGTTGTGCAAGTACTTGTGGCTGCATATAGCTTGTAGACTTGATTTGCTATGGAGAGTTCACAAAAAATGTCAGTCTCTCTTAGACATACAGTATTTCAAGTAGGTTCTTAAATCTGCACTCAGTCTCAGCCAGGTGGAGTCCAAAGGAGTTCTGAACTGTGTGCACTGCTAAATGGGAGGGACTCAGAATACTCTTAAGGGCTGAACCCAGATGTTATCTTCAGAATTCAGCTGTCGGTGAAATCATGAGGATTCCTCAGCATTTCAATTTCATTGGAAGCAAAGTATTGAAAAGCATCATGTCTGTAAGCAAACTCACTTCAGCAGAAGTGTAATCTTTTAGAAGTAGCACTCCACCAAGACCTTATCCTTCAAATGTACATTTTCGTCAGTTTCTAATAAAAACAATGAGGCAGTTTTTCATGTAGTGACTAAAGTTATTTTGCATTTCTTCTTCAGTTTGTAAAGTCTCGTCCTGTTTATGTGAAACAGAACTAGTTAAGGAAATAGTAGCTTATTGTTTAATCTGTGTCTTTAACCACCTGTTATAATTACCCACACCTGAAGCTTACTGATGTTATCCATTCATTATCCATTATGACTATTTTAACTACTTTGTTAAGCTTATTGCACCCATTGTAAAGATACTGTTGGTAAAAAGCACATGCAATAAATAAATAAGTAAATAAGTAAATAAACAAGTACTTCTCCTGAGGTTACATAGAATAACCAGAACCCAGAAGCATTTAAAAATGCTTTGCATCTCTTCCCAGATGTCCTGCTGCATGGATAGTACCAGTTGTCGTTAACCGCAAAGCCTGTGTCCTTAGGCTGTCACGTTCTCTACATGGCAGTGCCTGATGCATTTTCAACTGTGAATTATTGGAAGGGATGAGTTAGTGTGTAAATAGTGTCATCACAGATGATATTCAAGAGCATCACTTCTGGAGGTGGCTGGTTGTAACGAGCAGTGATAAATCATTCTAAGGATGGAATAAAAAGAAAGAGGCAAATAGGGAAAATCCACTTCCTATAACAGCTGTCTCATTTGTGGGCAGTGCTAATGTTGTTACAGCAGTGCACTTGTATTTGTAACGTTTTTATGACTAAGAGTAAATTAGTTTGCTATTAAAATAAGAGTTCATCAATTACTATTTTTTTCTTAAAGCATAAAAGAACTCGTGATATTCTTGTCAGGCTATTTCTTGGATATTGTGGAGGGAAGAATACACAGAGGATGGAGAGATGCCCCTTGTACCAAACAAGGTATTTTCTTTTTCTTCTTTCAGAAATAAAGAGCTTTAATTAGTAACAAAAAAGCACAGAGGAAGTCCTGTAGTCCTGAAGTTCTAAGCAATCATGGCTTAAGAGTGGTCTGCTAAATCAGCTCTATTAAGCAGGTTTTCTTCTGATTTCTACCTGCAGAAATGACTGTAAGAATGGAGTCATTAAACATTCACAAGTTACGGCTTATAAGAAAAAAAAGCATTAACAGCAACACCTATCATCTTTCTATAAGAATAACATCAGTAAAGAGTATTTTTTGTAGTCTTATACTAGAATCCCCCCAGCACAGCATTTCTTCCTAAAACACAAAAAGAAAAAAAGGACACCAAAAACACCAACAGGAAGATGTTTACTTTTACCCACGTAAAAGTCTCACGCTGAAAACCCAAAAATCCATTGTCAAATTCTGAATGCTCTTTCTAGTGTTGTCACTGATCCTTCGCTGAAGCAGATAATGCAGCTGTGATTTCAGCTCTGTCCATTTCTCAGCATTGCATATTTGTGCACTATTAACACTCAGCTTCACTTGCAGACTTGGCTTGGTGAGAGTGTTCCTGAATTGCCACTATTTGGAATTGCCATCTAGTTCTAGGACTACACAACCTTACAGACCAAGTACATAGCTGACATTTATGAGCTCTGAAAGAGGTGCATCTTCCTCCATTTAAACCATCCAAAAAGTTAAAGCATTTCTGCTTTTTAAAAGAAAAAGTCAGATTTCTTCTAGATTACATGTGTTGAAAACATGTGCAAGGACCTTCTGCTACTGAAAAAGCACAGATCCACATTGTCATCTCTATTTATAGTCAGCTCAGTCTTTCCTAACATATGAAGAAATCCCTGATTATCAAATTCAGTAGTAATATGAAACATTGATTTTGTTACGTAAACTTCACTCAGATCCTGTGCTTGAATTATTCAAGATCCTTCCACTGCTCACGGTGTGTGGGGGGTAATTCCAGCTGAGCTCTGCTGTAGTGCTCTGCGCCCTGCATCTCTGAACTGTTCCTTAGTTCTGACACTGCCACATACCACACGTGGTGCCTGTCACTTAATCCAAGGAAGTTACTCTTGTGACAGAAAAACTTCAAATGTATCTCTGGCTTAGTTTGACTCAAAAATATTACAGTACCATTATACTCTCCTGTGGCAACATGTTTGTATGAAGACTGAACTCACTGTGAATTAAGGTGAAGCGCATCGTCCAAACTGTGTTTCCAATCGTGCTACAAATCCTGGGTGTATCATGAATTGTACATACCATAAAAGACACTGAAAAACAGCATTCCTGACTGCCTGGTTTGTGGTACAGAGCGTCCCGCTCACATGGAAAAATTATGAAGCTAATTGCACTCCTGGAAATAGGGATGATTTGCTGACAGACCAGATACAAAATGCTAGCTTTGAAATTAGTAGCAATGACTTAATTCTCACTAAACCTCCTTGTAAATATGCCTTTTAATTGCCAGGAATTTCCTCTGAGTGTTGATTTGCATTATTTATATCCATTTTTCTTTTATAAATTTGACTTCCATATGTGATACAGTGTTTACATGTGCTGGTAGTTTTATCCACTACCTCCAAATACTGAGACATGCAGCTTCAGGAGCTGATGGTTGCACAGTCTGCAAATTCTGCAGGGAGTCAGTCTTCCAGGAGGTGTCCAAGTTGAT